CCTTCTATAGTCTCTTCCGACCCCAGCCGGGGCTCCCAAAACGGGCAGGCCTGGGAGCCGGCGGGTGGCAGCCCCCGCAAGACCCGCAGGGTGCACCTGACACAGTTTGAGCTGGAGGGGCTGCGCTGCCTGGTGGACAAACTGGAGTCCCTCCCTCTGCACAAGAAGTGTGTTCCCACCGGCATCGAGGACGAGGACGCCCTGATCGCCGACGTCAAGGTAGGTCAGCGGGCAGGAGCCGCGCACGCTGCCAGCCCAGGCCTGGCTGCTCCCCTGGGGCATCTCCCACTCTGCTTGACCCTCACCTTGACCCTGATGTTACACCAGCTGAGGGACAGCCCTGCCTCGGGAACTGCTGCCAGCCAGCGTGGCTCCTGGGACTCCTCTGGGGACCCTCTGGGTCTCTTAGGGGTGTCGGTGCCAAAGTGCTGGTTTGTGATGCAGTTTGTTTCCAGTCCTGGCTGGGGACTCCTTGGGCTGCTGGACACGGGGGCAGCTGGAGCCCTCTCCTTGCCCCAGGTGGACTTGGCCTTGTTTCTTTGAGTTGTTTGCACAGAATGTGACCTTAGGTTATACCAGTCTTGTGGTGGTGGTGCTTTTGTTTTCTCCTGTCCTGCTTTACACCCTGAGGTGGATCCTTCAGACCTATTGTGCTGGCTCCATGAGCTTTGGTGGCTCAGCCCTTTCAGCACTGAAGGGAGAATGTCAGCTTCTCTCTGTTCCCCAGAAGTCCATCTTAGCCCCTAAAGCCACAGAAGGACCTCCTGCTCCCTCCCCTGGTGACACTGGTCTGTTCAGCTGCTTGCCTGTCCCCAGGCTGACATGCAGACACAGCCATGGGTGTATCCTCCTCTTTGCTCTTGTGTTTCCTTTCCCAGCTCTGTCTCCTGGTTTCTGTGGGGCATTGGATAAATTTGGCACTCTGCTGCCCTTTGGGGTGCAGCTCTGGGGTCTTGGGGGTGGCATGTTGTTTGCAGGCTGAGGTGTGGTGGAGCTTGGCTGGAGGAGCAGGAGTAGATGCTGTTACAGGGCTGCAGTTCTGGTTTCCTGTGGCTTCAAGTGCTCTGAGTGTGCTGTGGCCTGCAAGTATGTGGGGTGTGTGTGTTTCTGAGCAACCATGGTGGGGTAGCCTCAGCCACAGACCCTATGATGCTCTGGAGAAACTCACACTGAGCTTCTGAGCTCCATATTTCGCCCTTGGACTGAGAAAGAAAGGATGGTGTTGTGTGGTTTGAAGGCAGAAGGTTCAGTGTTGGTGTTCAGATGGGTTTTGTGACCTCTTCAAAGGACTTGGTACATTCTGGAGCTAATGGATGTGGTTTTGATGGGACCCACAAGCCCCTGTGTCTGGGGAAAAGTCCCTGCAGTCTGGTCAAAGCAAACAGTGAAGGACTTGGCCCTTAGAGCTGGCTGTCCTCTGAGGTCCAGAAGTGTCCTGAGCTGCAGGACTCCAGCCCTCAGAAATAGCAGCCTCCCAGGTAAAGCCTGTGCTACAGGATGTCCTCAAAGCATGAAGATCCTTAGTCATCAGACTGCAGTGGCTGGAGAAACCAGGACAAGTTTGTCCAACTGCAGCAAACCTCTGCTTTCAAAACTCAGGTTTCCTTAGAGTTGATGAACAGGCAGGTGTGGGCTGGCTTATCAATCATGGAAGGGGTCAGACATGTCCAGCTGAGCCTTTTAACTGGGCTGGTCACTGAAAAGCCCAATGAGTGGAAGTCTAATTTTCATAGTAGCAGCTTGTATGGAGAGCACCTTCTTTATTTTATGTCTTTTAGGCAGGACAAGTTACCAAGTGAGAGGCATAAAGTGCCCATCCTTGCATCTGTGGATGCATCCATGGTGTGGGATACAGCCCCTGTTCCCATCGTGTTTATTTGGGTTTCACTCCCTCTTCTCATGGCTTTTTCTCGTGACAACTGTAGCTGACCCTCCCAGCACACAGTCCTACCATGGCTGTGTGTCAGCTCAGCCCTTCACTGGCCTTGTTCTGATGCTCTTAGAGTTGGGATCCATGTGGCATCCCTCGTGGTGGATCCAGACCCAGATCTCTTCTCTTGATCTTTCTGTGCTAGTGAAGAGCTACAGCCTGATCCATTTTCAGTCACTTCAGCTAAACAGAAAGCAGTACATCCTCCACAGCACCTTAGCCTGGCTCTGGGGCCATCACTCTGCAGCAGGTAAGACCTTTATGTCACCAAATGAGGCCATTGGTGGACCTGGGATCTGACCATTGGGGAAGACCCACTCTGGAGAAGCACAGACCCAAGGTGTTTCCAGTGCTCACCAATGTTGGTGCTGGCACCATGTTGCTGTGGCCAGTGGTGGAAGGCTTTCATGTTTGCTACCCAAGATCAGAACATGGTGTGCCCAGCCTCTAAGATGAGAAAACACAGGTAGTGACCTGGCATCTCCATCTGCCTGTTAGATCAAACATCCTACCACGCTCCAGGCCACCCTCTGCTAACCAGTGTCCCCAGGCACAGAGCAAGGAAATGCTGCTTGTTCCCACAGCCTTTTGTGTGGTGATCCTGACTTCAGGATGTCCATGGGCTGAGTCATGTGACTCAACTTCTGTATCGTGTCATGAGTTGAGCCTGGAGCCATCACATGGTGGAACATGACACTTTGGATGTGACAAAGATACGCTTCCAGCTTCATGACAGGAGGGACTGTCTGTCCACTGAGACTCCATAAAAAAGGCTACATCAGGCATCTGGAACAGGAAGAGCATGTTGCCACCTCTGCATCTCCTTAACCTTTCCAGCTTTGCCTCTCCTGTGGAAAGCTCCTGGTGGCACCATGTTGCTGCCTTCTGAAGCAGTGACTGAGAGCTGCTCTCCTGTGGTGTAACTGGGACAGCTGGTAGCAATCAAAAAGGCTTCTAGCTCTGCCTCAGGAGAAGATCTGCCTTCCTGAAATGAGATTGTGACATGTCTCCTTGTAGCACTGAAGTCTTGCTGAAAAGTCTCCACGTGTCTGGTGGTGCCTCTGTGCATGGTCTGGCCTGGGGTGTTGGAAAGGTCATTGGCCAAGAGGCAGATTCTGAGAATTCCCATTGTCTATTGACTGCTTCTTTCCATCACTTCTGACCCCTCTCGGGGTGTGCTGGTTTCCATCATTTGGACTTCAGAGGAGCAGGGATGGTCCAAGAGGCCCCTGGCTTTAGAGCTGTCAAGACTTGCTGTCTTGTTGACTTGTGGAGACCTGAGCCCATGTTTGAACCATTCCCTTGCAGTGATGCCACCAGTAACTGGGACAAGGAGGTCATGTTCAGGCTCTGCCTGGAGGAGTTGAAGCACCAAGCACTGCAGAAACAGGAAGAGCCTCTCCTAGAAGTGCAGATCCTGTGTCCAGGCCCTTATCTCAAAGCCTCTGGTCTGGCATCACCCGTGTACCTGGCTCTGTGTTGTGCTGGGTCTCCCCATCATCAGAGACCTTATTTCTCTATAAATCCAAGTTACTCTCCTCATCTGTCTGGCCTGCTCCTCCTGTGGGTCACATCTACCTAAAACGTTCTCCTGAGCCTCTTTCCTGCCCCAGTAAATCTGCCAGTTGGAATCTGTTCTCCCAAGACACTTTGTTTCTCCAGGTGCTCATGTTTAAGAGAAGCAGCAAATGTGTCAACTTGCTGAAGCCCCGGGGGACCGAAAAGCACCTAGAGTGCCCTTGGAAGGAGCAAGCAGTCTCAGGGCACTCCACTCCCTCTCCATGGCCATGGGGACAGTGTGCAGTTTGCTGCAGGGCAGTGGGACATGTTGCTGCTGCTTGTGGGTCAGATGAGACTAAACCCCAGTGTGAAGGGCCCAGGTGCCCCTATGGTGCACGTGCCAGTGCTGTGGTGGTCACCAGGTGCCTGACACTTCCATGCTCACTCTCCAAATGGGAGCTGTGCAGGGGCCAAAGACCCATCTGGCCATCCTGCCTGACCAGGTGTCACCTCGAGGTGCCATCTTCATGCACTTGACCTTGTCAGTGTGACAGAGGAGCCACCCAGGATGTTCTTCATGCTGGGCCAAGCCCTGCTGTGGGGCTGAGTGTCCCCAGTTGGTGAGATCCATGGAGAGCCTGTCCTTGTGGCTTGAGAGTGTCACTGGTGGTGGTTGAGGGGGTGACAGTGTGGCCTAGTGTCCCTTGGGCTCTCCAGGGGCAGAAGCTGAGGTTGCCAGCAGATGCTTTGGCTGCATCAGGAGTGGGAGCAGTCACTGTTCTCCTGAGCTGCTTTGGGGGAACTTGCCTCATTTCAGGAGTTTCCTCCATTTTAACTGCGGTGGTCTGGAGCTGGCTGGGGGGGAGGGGGCTGGTTGGGGGGGACTTCACTTTGCCCACTATGGGTTTAGTTCCCCTCTAGTGGTCAGCTCACCGATGGCTTTGGGACAACTGATCCCAAACTTGCCTGACTCCTTGTCAGGGAAGGTTTGTGCATCCAGGACGGGAGCAGCTCCCACGTTTGTTGTTGGCTTGTTGGTTTGTTGTTTTTTGCGGGGGGGGGAGAGCTCACCCCTCTTGCCTTCATTTGAAAGCCCTTTCTCCCCACTCACCCCAGGGCTGTCTCTAACCCCAGGTGGCTTCAGCTTCTAGCAGGAACCCCAAAAACCACCTCTCGGAGAGAACAAAAGAAAAGCATTGGGAGGGGGAGGGGGGGGGGGGGGGAGAGGGGTAAAAGCTCTTCCCACAGCCCTGGGGAGCCCAGCCTGGACATCTCCCATTGTGGTGGGAAGGAGGGCTGAAGGTGGGGAAGGAAGGAGGGCTGCAGGGTAGGAAGGAGGGCTGAAGGGGGGTGAAGAAAGGTGGGGAAGGAAGGAGGGCTGAAGGGAAGAAGGAGGGCTGAAGGGGGTGAAGGAAGGAGGGCTGAAGAAGGGGAAGGAAGGTGGGGAAGGAAGGAGGGCTGAAGAAGGGGAAGGAAGGTGGGGAAGGAAGGAGGGCTGAAGAGGGGGAAAGAAGGAGGGCTGAAGAGGGGGAAGGAAGGTGGGGAAGGAAGGAGGGCTGAAGAAGGGGAAGGAAGGTGGGGAAGGAAGGAGGGCTGAAGAAGGGGAAGGAAGGTGGGGAAGGAAGGAGGGCTGAAGAGGGGGTAAGAAGGAGGGGTGACGAGGGGG